GAAGTAGCAATGCTCGGTAGGAAATGTACTCATTACCTTACTTATATAACTGTAACCCCTTTGTACAGTAGTTTACAATTAAAATATATATTAAAAAGCAAAAAAAAAAAAAAAAGAATCCCACTGCATTTTCCTGTTGAGTCCTCACATTATTCCTAGGCCATAAATGCTATTATTCCTATATTATAGACACAAAAACTGAAATTCAGAGAGACTCAGCGACTTTTGCACCACAAGCAAGAGATCCAGACAGTTTCCTGAGCCCCAGAACACTTTATCCTCTCCAATCCGTATTCATGCTCTCAAAACCAAGCTTGTATGGCTCAGTCTAGTCTGGAGGTGCTCCCTGACTGATCTGCAACACTAAGCAATCAAACAGCACACACACCAGATCTGTCCAGTTTCCCTACCTTGGGGTAAGAGAAGGAGCACCACTTTTGGCTTCTGAGAAATGCCAAACTTCTTTTTCTTCTGTTAATCTCTGTTTTCCGAACATTAAATAAAAAACAGGTCTAAGAGTTTTGTTGATCCCAAGCCTTTGCTTTGTCAGCCATCTTCCTGAAACAAGAATATTACCTCCTTTGTGACAAAGTAGCAAAGGACACAAGCATAGCAAATGGCTTAACACAGGAGTCTTGCATCCAGGGGCTGAAGGTACTCATAATCTACTGCTTGACTCATTTCCCTCTTTCTTCCCAATCCCTCTTCTTCAGACCCTCTTCTCACCTTTGTTTCCTGTTTGGGAACAATCTGGTCCTGTGAATGAGAAGCAGCTCCAAGGTGTTGTGAGATAGAAGAAAGAAACTAGATCCAGGATTATACAAATTTGCAATTTATTCCAGGACTCACTGACTGCCAGCCTTGGCAGAACAAGACTCTTCAATTAACCACCAGAGAAACAGAAGTAGCGCTGTAGCTCAAAGTAGTAGAGCACCAGCCTTGAGCAAAAAGAGCTCAAGCCCTGAGTTCAAACCTCATGGAAAAAAAACAACAAACAAACCTACTCACCTACTTAAGTTGCTCTTTAAAAAAAAAAAATATTTATAGTAAGATGCTGTGGAGGAATGGGGGGCATTACTTAACTGTGTATCACTGAAGAAAGAAATAAACCAGGCGCTGGTGGCCCACATCTGTAATCCTAGCTACTCAGGAGGCTGAGACCAGAGGATCACAGTTCAAAGCTATCCCGAGCAGGAAAGTCCATGAGACTCTTATCTCCAATTAACCACCAGAAAACCAGAAGTGGTGCTGTGGCTCAAGTGGTAGAGCCCTAGCCTTGAGCTGAAGGGCTAAGGGACAGCGCTTAGGACCAGAGTTCAAGACCCATGACCAAAAAACAAAAAACAAAAACAAAAAACAAAAAACTGAAGCAAGCAATAAATGACAACTCAAGCCAAAAAAAGTTTATTGACAACTTGAAAGTCTATGACTCAAATACTGATGCAATTTCTTTCTTGTCCCTTAGCTTCACTTCTGTGTGGAGCTCAGTCAGGCCCTCCAGAACTCAGACTGCATTTTTTTCAGATTTCTTTTTTTTGGGGGGGGGGGGGCTTAAACTCTGGGCCTGGGTGCTGTCCCTCAGCTCTTCAGCTCAAGGGGAGTGCTCTACCACTTGAGCCACAGCGCCACTTCCTGTTTTCTAGTGGTTTATTGGAGCTAGGAGTCTCACGGTCTTTCCTGCCCGGACTGGCTTTGAACCTCGATCCTCAGATCTCAGCCTCCTGAGTAGCTAGGATTATGGGAGTGAGCCACTGGCGCCCGGCTTTTTTTCTAATTTCTATCCAGGGAAAAGAAGTACTTCCTTCCACTGGATGAAAGAACTAAGTCCTGGGTCTGACAGCCATTGGCCCACTTGGTTAGCCCCAACCGCTCACTGACTGTTGCCCAATGGATGGTCATGCTGCTTACCCAACATTTAATTAAATTTATCAAATTACCCAAAGCTTGAGGGAATATTAAACTTCTCCAGAATCACTTTACTGAGAATAGGTAAAGCGTGGAGCCCTAAAAATCAGGGGGCTAGAATCAGAGTGAACAAATACTGAGAGACTCACAGTTTCATTCCTATTTTTCTCATTGTACCTGAAAACTTCTTAGAAGTCTTAAGAATTTAGGAACCAGAGGCTGGGAAGGTGGCTCAGTGGTAGAGCGCTTGCCTTGCATGCATGAAGCCCTGGGTTCGATTCCTCAACACCACATAAGCAAAAAGAAAAAAGCCGGAAGTGGCCCTATGGCTCAAGTGGTAGAGTGCTAGCCTTGAGCTGAAGAGCTGTGGGACAGCGCCCAGGCCCAGAGTTCAGGCCCCAGGACCGGACCACCCCCCCACCCAAAAAAAAAAAAAAAGAATTTAGGAACCAAAGTCAAAATACAAGTTCCTCACCTTCCCAGGCTGAATGAGCTTGTCCTGCATATGCTCTACTCCTACTCCAGGATTTTTTCACCCTGGGGAAGCAGATGGAACCATTGGCTAGCCCAATGTGGCTAGGTGAGGTTAGTCCATAGGTAATTTTGAACACTACAGTATTAGGAGAGGAACAAAGTTATATAAACAGAAGTAAGGAGACATATCAAATTCCCTGTAGGTGCTGTAACAGATTACCAAAGTTAATGGCTTAACACATATGTTTTAGCTTACAGTTCTAGAGACTGTATCTGAAGTGAGTCTTCTTGGATAAATCAAGGTGATGGCAGGACTCCATTCCTTTCTGGAGGTTTTAGGACTCATTTCACTTGGCTGCCTCTACTCCATATTCCTTCCTCTATCTGCAAAGCAACAGCTAATCAAATCTTCCTCAGATATCTGCCTGACTCCTTGACCTCCTTCTACATTTAAGGACCCCTGTGATTAGAGGGAGTTCACCAAATAATCTGATTATTATAAGGTCAGCTAATGAACAACCGTAATACCACTCTAATAGCCTTAATTCCTTCTTGTTCCTGACAAGTAAAATATTCACAGCTTCCCAGGTATGAGAGTATAGACACGTGGGGGGGGGGGGACTTTATTCTGCCCACCAGAGTCTACCTACCCAACAGAGGCCACCATGTCCTGAACAACCCTCACAGTAGACACAGGACAAACTCCCTCTCAGAACTTGGAGTAGAGAATGAGGAGTTGAGACCCTAGGCAAGTTTCTTTTCTACTGAGCAGCTAGGATTACAGCCATAAGCCACCATACCCATTACACTTACTTTTTTTTTTTTTGGTAGTTTATTGGAGGGTGAGTCTCAGGAACTTTTCTGCCCATGCTGGCTTCCAACTGAGATCCTCAGATACCAGACTCAGGGTAGCTAAGATTACAGGCTTGAGCCATTGGATTCTTTTCTGTTTCTTTATAAGGTTTTGATGTCAAAGATTTAGACATCCTTATTTCCTCATTCTTTTGTTCTTTTTACTTCCTCATTCTTTTGTTAGTCAGCTCTCCTTCCCCCCCCCCCCCCCCAATTTCCTTAAGCAGATTTTGGTTTATCAACTTATCCAGCCTTTGCAAGTTTTATAATCTGTTAATTATCTGCAAATTATATAATCTGTAATAATCTGCAAGTTGTACTTTTCTATTACCAGAGAGAATACAGTTTACCCATGTGGATAAAGCAATCTTTCTGGCTTCACCCAGGTGGCCTCTGGGTTTTATTTACAGGCTCTAGTATCCTAGGAGAGTGGTCTACTTTCACTGAGCCTCTGGTGCCCTAACTACTAAGTGGGAGTATCACTCTGTACTTGACACAGTTATAAAGAATTACAGGAACTAATATAACATTCTAGAACAGGAGGACTAGGAAAGAGTCTGAAAGAAGTCCTAGCAGGGCTGGGAATGTGGCTCAGTGGTAGAGTGCTTGCCTAGCATGCATGAAGCCCTGCGTTTGATTTCTCAGTACCATTTACACAGAAAAACTTGGAAGTGGTGTTGTGGCTCAAATGGTAGAGTGCTAGCCTTGAGGTTTCAATGAGGTTCTGGGGAGCGCATCTCTGATCTCAGACCACTGCCACCACAGGCTCCCTCAGGTGTAGACAGCTTGGCGCTTGGCCAGTTCAAGATGTTTCCCTTTGCCTGGTAACCGGGAGGTGTGGCAGAGGCACAACATGGAGGAGAGCTGTGCAACCACACAGTAGTGGAGAAGAACCCAGCTGTTAATTGCTCCGGCTTCCCTAAATCCTAGGGACCAAGTCCTCCAGACTAAAGAAATAAGTGAGTAGGGAGTTATTGAGATGGGGCATGCCAGAGGCTGGGGATTTAAAAATGTATTGAGTCTTAATGGCCTGGCTGGGAGCCTAAGATTTGGGCTCAACCCTGGAACAAGATGGGAAGCTGAATGGCTTTTTATTTGTCAGTCGTGGGGCCTGAACTCTGGGTCTGGGCACCATCCCTGAGCTCTTCAGCTCAAGGTTAGCCTTCTACCACTTGAGCCACAGCGCCACTTCCGGCTTTTTCTGCTTATGTAGTGCTGAGGAATTGAACCCAGGGCCTCATGCATGCAAGGCAAGCATTCTTACCACTGAGCCACCTTCCCAGCCCCATGAATGCCTAATTTTAAAAGTGTCCCAAAGCCATGAAGCAGGCCCACAAGGCCCTTGACACCGAACAGGGCCCAGAGCCCAGCCAGAGGTTGTTAAGGTTTTGTTTGCTTTTTCTTCTTCTTCTTCTTTCTCGTGTGCCTGTACAGGGCCTTGAACTCAGGACCTGAGTGCTGTCCCTTAGCTTTTTTTGTGTGCAAGGCTGCCGCTCTGCCACCTGAGTCACAGGTCCATTTCTGGCCTTCTCGGTAGCTGGAGATAAGAATCTCTCAGACTTTCTGGCCTTGGCTGGCTTAGAAGTTTATCCTCAAGTTTCAGCCTCCTGTATAGCTAGGATTACAGATGAGTAGCTAGGATTACAGGTAAAAGGCACCAGCGCCAGGCTTGGTGGTAAGGACCAGGTATGTAGCCACACATCCCTCTGCCACAGGTCAGAAGCTGGATGAGACCCCAGTAAAAATGCCTACCGCCTAAGGTTTGGACCATGTACTCATTCGGCTGTCTGGTGCGCGGGGAGGACCTCTGGCCTAGACAACATCCCCTTACCTACACCTACCTGGCCGCCCCTCTGCTGCTGCCGCCCATCCAGGCCAATGGCTTCTGCCACGGGCCGGCGGCTCCCCGGGAATACCACCGCTTCTACCGCGCGGGTGCGCCCCTGGCCGCGCCGCCTTGGTGGAACTTCCTGCCGCCCTGCGCTGGGGCCGTGGGCCCACCGTTCCCCGACGCTGCCGGTGTCCCAGGGCGGCGATCTCCGCCGCTGCCCACGTGGGAGTCGCAGTGGCCGGAGGGCGGCAGCGTGGAGGCGGAACTGCGCTGGGGCCGCGTGGAACGCACCCGCGGCCCCCGCCTGCCGCTGCCGGACCCCGTGCGCCGGGAGCTGAGGCGCGTGTACGGCACCTACCCGCACACCGATGTGCGCATCACGCACCGCCGCGGCGAGTTCCTGCTGCACGCTGCGCCGCGCGTGGGCGAGCCTGAGTACCGCGTGGAGAGGCGCCTGGAACGCCGGCCCCAGAACGGCCAGGACGCCGTCCCCGCGCCGAAGACCAGGGAAGGCGCCCGCCGCCCGCCCAGGAGAGGCCGCAGCTGAGCTGAGCGCCCGCAGCGCGCGGAGCCCAGCCCCGGGCCGGCCGCGCTGCCCGCCTCCCCCCGCCGACCCCACTACCCCCCGGGCTCCCATCCCCGCATCTTCTTGATTTTTCTGGAGCTGTGGTTGGACCTTGTTGAAAGGGCCAGAAGGGGTGGGGGGACCGGGGACATCTCTGGGCGTTCTGCCCCCTCCTTCCTTCTAGAGGGTGCTGGAAAGTGCTAGGGTGGAAAAAGGGCCTGGATTGTTAACTCCCTCCTTCTCCCCCCACCGTCCATCCATTACCTGATCACCTCTGCCCTAAGCCATTAGAGCCATAACCACCCTCAGCTTGCAAAGAAAAGTTAATAAATGAGTGAAGTCAAATATACCGTGCAACGCCACTTTTCAGTTTGGAAGTGGTGGTGGTTCTTTTGCCGCCGGTATAAAGGGAGCTTTTACACAGATGTTGTAGGGAGTGTGTGTACGTGTGAAGTTGCCCCCTGGAGAATGGGGGTGCAGTCCGACTCCCTCACTCCCAACTTGTGTGCAGACTGACACTTCTAGACTTTCCTGGTACTGCTTTTGCAGTATAGTAGGGATGATTGTGAGGAGCATCTGAGACCTAGATTTCGGTGGCCTCTGACAGTTTCTAGCCAAGTACCTTTAACTTCACTGAGCCTATTTCTTCAGCTACCTTAAAGTTAGAATGAATGTCTTGTGTTTGTGCGCCCTCGCAATCCTGGAGCTTAAAACACAAGGCCTAGGTGATGTCGCTGAGCTAGTGCTCTACCACTTGAGCCACTGCTCCAGCTTTTGGGTGGTGAAAAAGGTCTCATAGGCTTTCCTACCAGAGCTGGGTTCAAACCAAGGTCCTTAGCTCTCAGCCTCCTGAGTGTCTACTATTAAAAGCATGAACCAGGGGCTGGGAAGGTGGCTCAGTGGTAGAGTGCTTGTCTTATATGAATGAGGCCCTGAGTTCAATTTCTCAGCACCATATAAACAGAAAAAGGCGGAAGTGGTACTGTGGCTCAAGTGGAAGAGCTGAGGGACAGTGCCCAGGGCCAGAATTAAAGCCCCACAACTGACACACACACACACACACACACACACAAACAGAACAAAAAAAGCATGAACCAACAGTGCCTAGTTTTTGAACATCTTTTCTTGTCTCCCAATTCTTGCTAACACTCTAAATTGTTAGAATCAGGCAATATATCCAGTTATAACTATGGATCACAAGAGCTGATGCACAGGCTGTAGAAAATTGGCCCCTCTGGAATTGCTTTCACTGAACATCCATCTGTAATTGGCCAATAGCTACTTGGGCCTACAGGTAAGTTATTGAACTTGTAGACTACCTCAGAGGCTGTGATTATGAGCCTCATAGAGAAGTTCTCTCAAACCTCAGCACTGAACAAGGTATTCCTCCAATTCAGTAGTTTGCTCTTATTTTTTAAGCTCCAGGGACCCCCCAACTGATCATATTTTTTTTTTGTCTTTTCCCTGGTTTCCAAATGGTTCAGAGCCAAATTTGCATAGCAACTTTTGGAAAAATCTAGATTCTGAACTCTACCTCTGGTTTCATATTTTCCTTTTAAAATAAAAAAAAATGGTCTTTAATAATACAAATATAGACTAGGCACCGGTGGCTCACGCCTGTAATCCTAGCTACTCAAGAGGCTGAGATCTGAGGATCAAAGTTCAAAGCCAGCCCAGGCAGGAAAGTCCATGAGACTCTTATCTCCAATTAACCACCAGAAAACCAGAAGTGGTGCTGTGGCTCAAGTGGTAGGGTGTTCACCTTGAGATGAAGAGCTCAGGGACAGTGCCTAGGCCCAAAGTTCAAGTCCCACAACCAACAGAAAAAAATAATAATATAAATATAAAATTTTGTTTACTTATACAACTATAAGGAGATTTGGATTAAGCCATTAGAATTTACCTTAACTGTATTTTTTTTTTTTTGTCTTTTCTTTTTTGGTACTGGGGATGAAACCCAGGACATTGTACTTGCTAGGCACTTGCTTTGCAACTAAGCTACAACCAGCCCTGGAACTTACTTTAAAAAATAAAGCAGGGTCGGGCTGGGAAGGTGGCTCAGTGGTGTAGAGCCCTTGCCTTGCATGCCTGAGGCCCTGGGTTCGATTTCTCAGCACCACATAAGCAAAAAGAAAAAAAGCTGGAAGTGGCGCTGTGGCTCAAGTGGTAGAGCGCTAGCCTTGAGCTGAAGAGCTGAGGAACAGCGCCCAGGCCCAGAGCTCAGGTCCCACGACCAGACCCAAAAAATAAATAAATAAATAAAAAGAAAATAAAGCAGGGTTGGGAAAGTGGCGCAGTGGTAGAGTGCTTGCCTAGCATGTATGAAGCCCTGGGTTCGATTCCACAGTACCACTTACACAGAAAAAGCCAGAAGTGGTGCTGTGGCTTAAGTGGTAGAGTGCTAGCCTTGAACAAAAGAAGTTCAGGGACATTGCCCAGGCCCTGAGTTCACAAGCCCCAAGACTGGTAAAATAAATAAATAATAAGTTATGGAAACAGCCCAGATGCCCTTCAGTTGATTAGTGGATCTGAAAAAAATGTGGTGTCTATACACAATAGAATTTTACACAGCCATTAGAAAGAATAATATGCCGGGGCTGGGAAGGTGGCTCAGTGGTAGAGTGCTTGCCTTGCATGCATGAGGCCCTGGGTTCGATTCCTCAGCACCACATAAGCAGAAAAAGCTGGAAGTGGTGCTGTGGCTCAAGTGGTAGAGCACTAGCCTTGAGCTGAAGAGCTGAGGGACAGTGCCCAGGCCCAGAGTTCAGGCACCATGACTGGCAAAAAAAAAAAAAAAAAATATGTCATTTGCAAGGAAATGTGGACCTAAAACAAATCATTTTAATGGAGGTAAGCCAAGCTCAGAGAGACAAATGGCAGAAATGTTTTCTCTCATACTCAGAAGCTACATCTAAAATACTGGGACATAATAAATTATACAGGTCACACACAGTAAGACCAAAGGAGGATACTCTTAAGAGGGGAACAGAAAGCCACAATGCCTATGTGCATTTGATCATACAAAATAATATTTATTGAAATGAACTCAGAAAATGAAAACAAGAGTTTTTTTTTTTCTTTTTTGCTGTTTTTGTTTTCCTTTTTGTTCTGTTTGTTATATATGTCTTTGGGAGTATAAGGGGAAGCCCAGAAATGGAGAGGCAAAGGGTAAACAAATGCAGCAATGGTATTCAGTGGACACTATATTGATAATGAACTATACAACTTGTGGGTGGGGGTGGGAGGGAAAAACTGAGAGAGCAAAGGAAGGGGTAACATTGCCCCAAAAGAAATGTGCTCCTTCCTTCCTCCCTTCCTTTCTTTCTGTCTGTCTTTCTTTCTTTCTTTTTTTCTCTCTTTCTTTCTTTTTTGTTTTTGCCAGGCTTGGGCTTGAATTCAGGGCCTATGCCCAAGCTTCTTTTGCTCAAGGCTAGCACTCTACCACTTGAGCCATAGCACCACTTCTGGCTTTTTCTGTTTATGTGTGCATAAACTAGCGCATGCTAGGCAAGCACTCCACCACTAAGCCACATTCCCAGCCCCAAGAAATGTACTCTTGACCTCACCTATGCAACTGTAACCCCTCTGTACATTACTTTTATTATAACATCTTTAAAATTTAAATCACAAGCCGGGCGCTGGTGGCTCACGCCTGTAATCCTAGCTACTCAGGAGGCTGAGATCTGAGGATCGCGGTTCAAAGCCAGCCCGGGCAGGAGAGACCGTGAGACTCCTATCTCCAATAAACCACCAGAAAACCAGAAGTGGCGCTGTAGCTCAAGTGGTAGAGCGCTCACCTTGAGCTGAAGAGCTGAGGGACAGCGCCCAGGCCCAGAGTTCAAGCCCCATGACCGACAAAAAAAAAAAAACCCACAAACAAAAGGTAGTAAGATTATGAATTATTTCGTTCTACTTTCTCTAATTTCCAACATCTTAGGTAATATGCTTCACTTTCTTTATAAATTAAAAATTACACAAAAAAACAAAACTACAAGACGACTGAACCCAAAGATTTCCCTTTCATAGTACCAAATACTATAAGACCCCCGAGACCTCAGACTCCAAAGGTAAAACAGCGCTGTCCATGTTAATTTGTCCTGTCTTTTGTCTGTTTTACTTTCATTTTCCTTTGTGAGGACAGCTGCTCTGATTTGTAAAGGGTTGTCGAAGCGGACGCGCTTGCACGACAACCCTCGAGGAACTGGGAGACGTCCCAGATCCTCTTGTGGGGTGGGGGTCCTTGGAACCCCACCGTGTGGGGCAGGACCCGGGTCCTTGGAACCTGGCTGTGTGAATTGGGGGGCGGCAGTTGGTTCGGTGTTGGGTCGAAACTGACCAAGAGGGCCTCCTAACCAAGGCCCAACTTGCCCACTGTGGGTCTGCTCCTTCTGCTGTGGGCCGTGGGTGTGGAACCCTGTCATAACAGGAGTCAGCGGACCAATTCGGGAGATCTCCACTTTGTAAGCTTTTTTTTTTTTGGAACTGTCAGGCCTGCGTGAAACCATGGGCAACACTCCATCTAGCCCCCTAGACTTACAAAAAGAAACTAAGAAAGAGAAAAAGAAATTGTACCCCCTGGTTTTTCAGGGAGATAACTTGGAAGAAGAAATGTTTCCTCCCCCATACTCCCCTTCCAGGTTCCTTCTGCTGAGCCTGAGAATGATCAAGAGGAGGAGGGAGCTACAGAACCAGCAGCCGAACCCTGGGCACCTGCCCTTAAAGTTTCTGAGGGGCCAGTCACTCGACGACACTGTGGGATCAGCCCCCCTTCTAGTGCAGCTGTTTTTCCCTAATGCACCGTAGGTCCTGTGGATGCAGATGGTCAACAGCAACTCCAATATTGGACATTTTCTACCAGTGATCTATACAATTGTCGCACCCAAAATGCCCCCTTTTCTGAGAAACCCCAGGATTTAATTTGTTTGCTTGAAACTATTCTCTCTACTCATCAGCCCACTTGGGATGATTGTAGTCAGCTTTTA